AATAAACACTTAATGAGTAGAGCAAGTTCTTCAACAAATTATATTGCAGGTGTAGCAGATGGCCTAATTATTTTGGGCTTTATATTCAATCTAATAAGATTTGTTAATGGGCCAGCTGTGGGTGTGTTACCATTTTATTGGTCCAAAGGCCTGTAATTTGGATTTCTATTTGCCTGGCAGACATGAATTTTTTATTGGCAGAATGTTGAATTATTCTAGCTTTAGTAATTAGTAACTTATTAAAGAAATTGAAGTACTATCAATTTTATTTGGTGCGAAATCTTGGGGAGTTACATATTAGAGCAACAAAATTAAGATTTTGCAAATTTACATATAGTCTGTCAATACTTTGCTCCTATATTATTATCAGCTTGAGGCACAATTAGAAACATAATATCTTTCTAATCAAAAGCCATTGAGGTTTTGTAGCAAATCTAATTAGAAACGTGCCAACCCCATATGTTCTCCCTTTAAATCTTCCTAATCAAAAGCCATTGGGCTCTCTAGCTCCTTGATAGTCATTGCATCATACGAATCATTGCATCCACCACCATCGCTATTCGGTGCAATTTAATTACAAAACACTAAACTCTCAAATTAACTCTTTAATTTTAGGGTAAATTCTTTTAATTTTAGCAAGTGATCGAGATAGTGCATGCTACAAAAAGTATGAGAAGTATAATATGCTAGAACAAAGTGTCGTTATCTATTGGCACAATGGCACTTATGGAAAGCGAAGAATAAGAGATATGTTGAGCAATCGTTGGTTGATCCCCACGAGGCACTTAACTAAATTAATTTGATGATCTAGAAACATTGTAATGCCCCATGTGTGGATTTATTTGATCCCACTACTTGTCTAGCACAAAGACGGTCACAACAATGGTCTATCTGGTCTCATGCCTCCTCTGGTTTTCTGAAGGTTCTTTCAACTTACCAATGGAGTATCTACTTCAACCATGGTGAGGTGGAACTCATGCTCTGTGGGTTGGGCGAACTTGGCCTATTTGGGCTTTGTCTCCATTATGATTGATCTTTTGCTTTATTGAAGGCATTTGGATTAAGAAATTCTTATATTCAATAGGTTAGCAAGTCAAGAATATCTCAATTAAATAATATAGCGTTAACTATATCTGTAATGAAAAAAAAAAAATTTATTATAATTTACTAATCAATTTATTACAAATAAAAGACAACACTTGCCACTAAATTACTAAATGATTAACTTAACATTCTCACATTTTTAAATCTTATAACGAATCTTATCATGAAAACCTATTATGATATGTTATCTAAAGTGACAAAATAATTTTTCAATCAAGGCTTCTTTCATTCTCTTCGAGTTTCTAATGGAGACATAGAAGCACAATGGCAAGGACTCTAGACTTTAAGCATAGGCACGTCCATATTTCTAACAACATTCTAATTTAGGCTATAAAAGGCCTTGGCTGTTGAAAGCAAGCCTTGCCTCTCTTTGAAACTAACTCAGTGCTGTCCACATTCGAGTATTGATCTTCAAGCAATCTCAGGAAAGTTTCAATACTCAAGCACACTACTTGACTTTTCATTTCCTTGCAGACATTATAGTTACTATCCTTAGTTCCCTTTGTTAAGGGAGTGATTGAACAACCTTTAGGGTCCATGTGGTTCATGGAAAATTATTTCGAAAAATCATTTTTTCCATTTTCCTATCTTTGAGAGTCAACTTCTAGAATTTTTTCAAAAACATGTTTTCCTTTAAAAGCACATGGATCTAAAAAGATTTGAAATTGTCAAATCAATCGAGTTTTAGCACCAATTTTCAATCAAGAAGCCCAAAACCATAGTGCCTCCATTGGGTTCGATTGGGGTGACTTTGGATCGAATGCTTTCACAAAATTTGCTAGCATAATGGTGGTGGTTGGTACCAACACTTGTATAAAATTTAAACATGTGAATTTCAGTATAAGATTTATATTTAATTTAAAATCAATTGGTAATAAAATAAAATAATTCTCTTTATATTCAAGTTACATACTTTTTTGTTATATATTCAATGTGAAATTTTTCTGCCTAACACATTTTATAAGGTTATTGAATTAGAAATTTTCACATCAAATATATAAATATATATGAGTTAAATTTGAGAACTACTCCACCCATTGTCAATTGAATTTAAATTAGATGCAAATCTTATATTGAAATTTACATGGCTAATTTTCACATGTTACCTCCTCATTTACACTTCTAAAACAAAGCTTAACCGTTTCTCATCAAAGAAAAACTCTCCTAATATAGCAATATTCCATCAGTTGCTTTAGAATTATATCAACCATATGCTAAGGCGTCTAGAGCTTCTGTGCCTTTGAGGATGACAAACACCATGAGGTCCTTGATCTCCAAGGTCTTTCGAAGAAGACAAATCCATTTCTCCAATCTGAGCTTGAAGAAGAAGGTAAAGACGTGTGGGCAATATCCTAGATGAAGTCCTCAAATATTTATTCCTTTTATATATAATTACTTATAGTTTTCTTTATATTCAATATGATTCCTATGATGGATTCTTTTTTGGGGAAAATATGAAGATTTCCAATGCCAACCAAACAACAGAAAATCTTTTCATAAATTTTTTTTTAGAGTTATCCAAACAAAAGAAAATAACTTATGGAAAAGAAAATATTTTCCTTTGAAAAATTTTTTCAAAGTATGATATTTTTGCAAACCACACAAACAATTTGTTGCTTTTTTTTTTTTTTTTTGAGAGTTTCAACATGTTGGAATTGAAAAAAAATAGATTTGTGCACAACATGTTGGAATTGAGAAAAAAAAAAAAACTTGTACACGACATGTTGAAATTAAAAAAAATTGATTTGTACTTTTTTAATTTAAAATATTTATTATTTTAACCACTATTAACCCAATTCCCACGGCGTTGACAATGACAAACGGCGATTTATTTTATTTTATTTTTTCAAATAGGACACTTTAGGAAAAAGTAAGAGTTGGTAAAAATTGGTTTTGATTAAAATTGAAATCGATTTTAAAATAATTAAATTTTCTTTTTAA